CCCCCCCGACCACCATTTTATCCCATGCAAGGCTTCCTTGCAGTCCACCCAGTAACTCCCATCTAACACTCCTATTTGTACACTGCTACCCTTAGGCCAGTATTTCACAGGCCTTGGCAGCTCGAAGATGCATGGACTTCCAACTCCCAGAGTTCTCCAGCCATGGCTGGGGAATTCTGGGAGTTGAAGTCCACCCATCTTCGAGCTGCTGAGGTTGAGAAACTCTGCTATAAGTCACCTGAAAACGCAGATTCAGGCCTTTGGGGCAGAGAGAGGACTGAGCCCACTGATAAATTTATCTATTTATTCATTTATTTTTTTTAATGGTTGACCTATTTACCTTCAGTCTTCTTGTGATTCCATGTGGAATTACCAGCGGACTGAAAGCAAATAGGTCAGCCATTAAATACACTGTACGTATGTATGAATATATGTAGGTATGTATATTTTTTCTGGATTTTTAAATTATAGGCCTCTAAGTTGCCAAGAGGCCTTCTCAAGGGCCCAAACCAGGGGTAGGCAACCTTGGCTCTTTTATGACTCGTGGACCTTGGCTCTTTTATGACTCCCAGAATTCCTTAGCCAGCCATGCTGAGGGGAAAGGGAGAGGTTTCCAAGCTGAGCCATGCTGGCTCAGGAATTCTGGGAGTTGAAGTCCACGAGTCATAAAAGAGCCAAGGTTGCCTACCCCTGGCCTAAATAATTCCAGTCAGGAAGGGGCGTGGCTTTTCTTTGCAGGAAGAGTTGAATAGGAGAGAGAGGACCCTCCCCCTCAGTGTCTCCTCCCCTTTTTCCTCATGCTGTTCCTGGAGGGGGAAAAAATCACTGGACATCTGCTACCTGGCCACGGTGTTGGTCATCCTTCTCCATCCAGCCCTGGGTCATCCTTTCGGAGTTAGAGAAGCACCCTGAGGTGATTTTGGGGCCATGAGCACACCATCCAGAGTTTTCTGGTTCTGCCTGGCTTTCTTCCTGTTTTTGGTCTGCTTTGGAGCCTGCCTCCTGGTCTACATCAAACCTACCCAGCTTTGGTTTTACTTCAAACTAAGTCAGGGAGTTTCTACATCAGACCCGGCCGTGTTCTTCAGTCAGGATGATCCCTACAACGACAACTTCATCCAAAGAAATGCCACCGTCATTCTGGTCTGGCTATGCCCCTTTGGGTGCAGAATGAACCCATTGCACTGTCTGGACATGAAAATCTCCAGCTGTCACATCACCATGAATCGGAGCATGTACAATCAGTCCCACGGGGTCGTCTTTCACCACCGAGACCTCATGTGGGATCTCAGCAACCTCCCTCAGCAGCCCAGGCCTACGTTTCAGAAGTGGGTCTGGATGAACATGGAGTCCCCCGTCCACTCGCTCCCCAAGCGTGGGTTGAACCGCCTCTTCAACCTGACCCTCACTTACCGCCGGGATGCAGATATTCACATACCTTACGGCTTCCTCACTTTTAACCCAAATGCCTCTCGGGCCAAAGTGCCCCCCAAAGACAAACTCGTATGTTGGGTAGTCAGCAACCGGTATCCTCAGGAGAGAATCCGATATTACAAGGCGTTAAAGAAATATATTCGAATTCATACTTACGGGAAAGTGTTTGGAAGAGATCTGAGCTGGAACGAATTCATGCCCACCCTTTCCTCTTGCAAGTTTTATCTGGCCTTTGAAAATTCCATCTTTAAAGATTATATTACCGAGAAACTTTACTTGGCGCTTCTGGCCGGATCTGTGCCCGTGGTTCTGGGTCCTCCCAGAGAAAACTACGAGGATTACATCCCGGCTGAGTCTTTCATTCACGTGGACGATTTTGAGTCACCTAAGAATCTCTCTGAGTATCTTTTGATGCTCGACCAAAATGATACGCTGTACCTAAGTTACTTTAAGTGGAAGAAGGATTTTTCGGTCTACCGTCCTAATTTCTGGAACTCACACTTATGTCTAGTTTGTGACCATATAAAGAGACGCCCGGAATACATGTCTGTTGGAAATCTAGAAAAATGGTTTTGGAATAAAAGCTTTAGTGATGTTTTTCCTGCACGTTAAAAAAAAAAAAAAAAGCTGACAAGGTCATCAACCTGAAATTGAGCAGGTATATAAAGAAATAAGAATTCTGAGTACAGCATAATATTTACAATCTTTTCTTTCTTCTTAATATGGAAAATTATATTCCTTAAGGCTTGGACGTGTTAATCCACATAGTAGGTGGGTAACATTATCTTAGATGTTATCTTTTTTTAAAAAAAACAAAATGTTATTAATTTCTGCATTCTTTGCTTGAAGAGACGACCACCAGCTTTCGACTTTGGCTTTCAAACCCATTTTGTTGTGATTTTTAAACAGGAATTAAAAGCTGCTAACGTGAGTCTCTGTTGTGTTTCTTCATTTAAACAATCCACATGCCATTGTGAGTTATGGTAGTATTTTAACCATACATTTCCTCTTCGGTGTTGCAAATTTTGCAATGTGTACAGATCACGATTGGGCCCAAGATTTAGGTTGCTAAACGAGACATTGGTTAAATGAGTTTTGCCCCATTTTACGACCTTTCTTGCCACAGTTGTTAAGTGAATCACCGCAATTAAGTTGAAGAGACGATTGCCAGCGTTACCTGATTTTACTCATTTACTTGTTGATTTACTTGTTAAGTAAATCTGGCTCTCCCATTGACTTTGTTTGTCAGAAGGTCACCAAAGGTGATCACGTGACTCTGGAACACTGCAACTGTCATAAGTACATGCCAGTTGCCAAGTGTCTGAATTCTGATCACGTGGTCCTGGGGATGCTGTAACGGTCGTAAGTGTGAAAAATGGTCATATCATAAGTGACTTTTTTCAGTGATGTTGTAATTTTGAACGGTCACTAAGTGAACTGTTGTAAGTTGAGGACTGCTTGTACTTAGATGGGATGTGAGAAGTAACTCACTCACCTGGGTGCATATAAAAGTCACGACCTAGGCACAACATTATTTCATCCTTCATCTCTGGCATGGCATCATTTTATACCTGGTTGGAAATCCTGCTCTGTCTGTCAATAGCCCCCATCTTACAGCCCCCGATTTGTTTTTCAATCTGGTTTCATCATTTTTGCAATGCATCACGAGCCAATTACCCAATCCAATTGTGTTTATATTGATTGGGAGTTTTGCCCCTTGCAAGGCCACAAAAAGAAGAAGGAGAGGAAATCGTAGGCAGTGGCGATAATACAATGAGCTCAACAATATTTATGACACTTTAACTACACTTTACAAAATGTATTCGAATGACCTTCCAGGCTGTCTTATGAACTGCTTTCTAGATTGTCTTCAATTACAGGAGCTGTTGAAGGCAACGTGGGAAGAAGAACATGTATGGCCCAGTTACTGGCTTCAAAATGGTCAGGATGGAGGAGTGATCAACACCCCATCCCTTTTTATGCGCAGGCAATGCACAGCCAGTTTGGTGCAGCAGTTAAGGTGCTGGCCTAGAAACCAGGAGACCGTGAGTTCTAGTGCCACCTTAGACATGAAAGTCACCTGGGTGACTTTGGGCCAATCAACAGGAGACTAGTCCCACCTTTGGTATGAAAGCTAGCTGGGTGACTTTGGGCCAATCACCAGGCGACCGTGAGTTCTAGTACCACCTTAGACATGAAAATCACCTGGGTAACTTTGGCCAATCAACAGGAGACTGTGAGTTATGGTTCTACCTTTGGTATGAAAGCTAGCTGGGTGACTTTGGGCCAATCACCAGGAGACTGAGTTCTAGTCCCACTTTTGGTATGAACGCTAGCTGGGTGACTTTGGGCCAATCACCAGGAGAGTGTGACTTCTAGTCCCAGCTTAGACATGCCAGCTGCCTGGGTGACTCTGGGTGAATCACCAGGAGACTGTGAGTTCTAGTACCACCTTAGACATGAAAGTCACCTGGGTGACTTTGGGCCAATCACCGAGAGGATGTGAGTTCTAGTCCCACCTTTGGTATGAAAGCTAGCTGGGTGACTCTGGGCCAATCACTGAGAGGATGTGAGTTCTAGTCCTGTCTTAATCATGAAAGCTGGTTTGGTGACTTTGGGCTAGTCACACTCTCTCAGCCCAACCCACCTCAGAGGATAGTTGTTGTGGGGAAAATAGTAGGAAGGAATATTAGGCATATTCACCCCCTTGAGTTACTTAGAAAGTAATAAATGCAGGATAAAAATCAAACAAAGGTGTGGCAGGGGAAGTGGGCTTTGATTGCCAAGATGGTCAAGAAACCTGTGACTATCATTACAGGTGCCCTGATGGGAAAACTGAAGCTCGTTTACCATTTTAGAGTAATCCTTAGTTTTAATTCCTTTTACATAAAGCATTTTTAAATGATTGTCTTTCCACTCATTTGAACGGTTGGGGGGGGGGGGGAAGGATTCCATGACTGGCAAAGTAGGACATAGTAAAACAACACAATTTTAGGGGAAAAAAACAGGACACAATTAAATTTGCACTGCAGAGTTTGTACGGATCAAAGTCTTTTATCAATTGGATCAAAGTCTTTATCAATTTGGGACAGAGAAAATAGCCCAACTATTTGTCTGCTTAACCTATAAATGCAGAGTTTCTTCCAAGAGGGAGACCTGTTTTGGCTTTTGATGTGCTGGTTTTGGGGAAAAAAATGGGTCAGTCAATAATAAAAGCTGTATTTCATTGGTTTTTTTTTTTTTAAAAAAATAATCCAATTAACCAGCTATTAGAATTTCTCCGCATGGGTTTAACCATTTCCCTTTATTGCCACATTAAAGTAGTCTCTCGACTTACAACAATTCGTTTAGTAACTGTTCAAAGTTACAACAGCAATGAAAAAAGAGACTTATGACCGTTTTTCGCACTTCTGACTGTTGCAGCATCTCCAGGGACATGTGATTTACACTCGGATGCTTGACAACTGGTTCATATTTATGATGGTTGCAGTGTCCTGGGATCATGTGATCCCCTTTTAGAACCTTCTGACAAGCAAAGTCAATGGATTCATTGTGCTATTAACAACTGCAGTGATTCACTTAATAAATGTGGCAAGAAAAGTCGTAAAATGAGGCAAAACTCATTTAACAAATTTCTCCCCATCCTCCTTTTATATCCTCTCCTCTCTCCCCTCCTCTTCTCTTCGGTGCAGGTCCAGCTAACTCCTCTTCCCAAGGCTGCGTCTTTTTTTTTCTCTCCTTCTCCCACCAAAACCTCCTTTTATATCCTCTCCTCTCCCCCCTCGTCCTCTTCTCTTTCGGGTGTGCTGGAAGTGCCTATCAGCATGTAGCCACGCACGTTGATCCTGTGGCTTCTGCTGAGCCCTGCAGCTCCAATTGTCTCTCCCTCAGACTTGTGTGGTACTGCCACTGCTTCAGCTCATTCCCCTCCCCTGCTACGCTTGTCTAGGATGGTCACGTACCACCTGCCAGGTGCCAAAGTACCACTAGTGGTATGTGTACCACCGGTTGAAAAGCCCTGCTCTAAGGCAGGAAGGTTCAAACTTGGCAACTTTTTAAGACTTAGTGGATTTTCACTCCCTGGATTCGAAGTTTGCCAAATTTGGATAGCCCTGCTCTAAGGCAGGGCTTTTTAACCTTTTCACCCATTGCACCACTTTTAGGATATGGCAACATCCGAGTACCACCAGTCGCCTAGCAAGGTGTCAAAAACTGGATGACCAAAAAAAAGGGAAAAAAGTGATAAAGTACAGGTAGTCCTCGACTTACAACAGTTCGCTTAGTGACTGTTTGAAGTTACAATGGCACTGAAAAAAGTGCCCCCCATGCCACAGCCGAGCAAGACACCTGCCTGCCTGCCCAGCCGCGCTCTTCCTCCTGTCCAAGGTTTTCATTGTTGTGAGCATTTCTGTTGAGGATTGGCAGCAGGGTTTTATTCCCCCCCCCATCTGCTGGGTGGTTGCAGCAGGTTTTGGTTACTTCACATGACCCTCGGACACTGTGACCGTCATAAACATGAATCAGTTTCCAAGCATCTGAATGTAAATCACAAGACCCTGGAGATGCTGCAACATTCCAGCTGATCAGCGCTTCTTCTTGGCTCAGCAGAAGTGCCAGGATCAGTGCTGCTTTCCAGCTGATTGGTGCTTCTTCACGGCTCAGCAGAAGCACCAGGATCAGAGCCGAGCTCCAGCTGGAGCCTGGTGCTGATCCTGGCGCTTCCGCTGAGCCCTGACAGCCCTGCAGCTCCAGCCATCTCTCGCTCAGGTTTGTGCGGTGCTGCCACCGGTTCAGTTCATTCCCCTCCCCCGCTACCACTTTTCTAGGATGGTCACGTACCACCTGCCAGGTGCCAATGTACCACAGGTGGTACCCGTACCACTGGTTGAAAAGCCCTGCTCTCAGGCAACGCTGCTCCTAGAGTGCAGTTGCAGAGAGTGGTAAGGAACGTAAGTACCGAAGCTAAAATAGTCAACCTTTTTTTTAAAAAAAGGTTATTTTCCATGCTCCACAATTCTTTCTAAATTAAAAACTCAAACGGCTTTCCGTTCTCTTGTGTTTTGAGGATGGATTCAAACTTTTTTTAAGCAAAGCACCAAGTTGCATCCCTAACGAACTGCCGCTGCTCTTCTCCTGGGGACAGAGAAGATGAATTTAGCTAGAAAGGGAGAGACCAGGGGGGAACAGAACTGTTTTCCCTTCCCAATTATGTTAGCTCTCTCTGGGCTATAGAACATTTTAATTCTGTCCTAATGACATTTATTAGTGCAACACAGCCTACCCCACGCCTGGACGAGAGTGCGGCTTTTCTATTAAAGAACAACCATTATAATTCAGCATTTTAAAGCAATGGTTTTAAGGAGGAAGATGAGTATCCGGGAAGCAGTACTCGTCCTTCGACTTCAAAGGGACATTCTTGGGCTCCGCGTTTTATGGCTTAATCTTCTGAAAGTATTTATTGGAGTTTTATTTTATAGTACATAAATATAGACGGGGGAAAAAAAAGAAACTTCTTTAGGGCAAAGCGAGCTGCAGTATAGGAGAGGGTTTATATAATCTTTTCTTCCATCTGGTTTTACTGCAGTCAACTGAGGACATGACAATGCGCTTAA